TGGTTGAGCTATAGGCGCCGAGCCTGCACTGTTGTTTTTCAGAGCTTGGCAGAGATAAGCTCTGTTTGTTTGCTTAGCCTTTAATAGAAGGCCAGTCGATAATTTCGACCCCTAAATCATTTTGTGTACTTTTCCTGAAGATTTGGCTTTACTTGCTCCTCTTCATTTGTTTTTTTTCTCAGAAGATGATAGTGTACATTATTTCCCACAAATATTTTATGAGACTAAAAAGTTTAGGTGTCTTACGCCTATAATCCCAGCACTCTGGGAAGCCGAGGTGGGTGGATTGCCTGATCTGAGGAGTTGGAGACCAGCCTGAGCAAGAGGGAAAATACTAAAAATAGAAAAACTAGCCAGGTGTGGTGATGGACAACTGTAGTCCAGCTACTCTGGAGGCTGAGGCAGGAGGATGGCTTGAGCCCAGGGCTTTGAGGTTGCTGTGAGCTAGGCTAATGTCATAGCGCTCTAGCCTGAGCGATGCTGGCCAGTGAGACGCTGACTTATAAAAAGTTCAGATGAGTTTTAAGGAGACCAAAATTGAGTTTTAATATGAAAAGGTGGTCGATACTTTTTGTCTTTCATCTAATAGGTTCTCAAGTACCAGCCGAGTGTCAGATGCCCATCTGGGCACCAAGCTGTGCCAGCAAAGAGGGCAGACCTGAGCCAGAGCGTGTGTGGCCCTGGCACCAGCTCTGTTCTCCTAAGCTGAGAGATAGAAGCTCTTTTCCCTGTGCTGTAGGTGACTGGGTACACACAGGGACGTTAAACTTGCCCTAAGTCCCACAGCCAGGAAGGATACGAGCCAGGATTTGGGCACAGGAGGGCTGGCTCCAGGAACCTGGGTGAGCGAACAGCCCTTACACTAGGATGGTCCTCCTGTCAGTGTTGTCTGCTGTCTCTGCAGACAGTGAGCACGTGAGAAGCCGAATCCTGTCAGGTGCTGAGTCAGAGTCTGTTGTAGGTGAAGTCCCTTCATGGAACTTGCCTCTGTTTTGCTGGCAGATGCTGTCCCCAGCCTTTGGGTTGTGTCTGGTGTGGCCAGGGAAGTGCCTCAGTCCATATCAGGTACACTGCAAGGCAGAGAAGGGCCTGGCCTTAGTCCCATCAGTGGGAAAATGAGCCCTGCTCCTCTACGGCATGCCTCTCTTACAGGACACACATGAAGGTGCTGACTTTGTGTCATGGGAGACCCAGATAAAGATTAGGGACAGATAAACATCGGGCCTCAGTTAAGAGCTCCTCGGAGTGCAGGTGCTGTAGGCTGAGTGAAGGAAAATACCCTTCCAGGCTTTATGAAACTGGCAGGGTAGAGGGAGGCCCTTTGTCATTAGTAGCACTGCTAAAGTTAAATGTTACTTGGCCCATTTGGGGCTGTGCTCAGTGTGGTGGTGTCTCTATAACTGATCACATCTCTAGCAGTCACATCAGCCTTTCCTTTGGCTTTTTTTTTTTTTTTTTTTTTTTGAGACAGTCTCATTTTATCGCCCTCCGTAGAGTGCTGTGGCATCATTTGTGACCTCAAACTCTTGGGCGTAAGCAGTTCTCTTGCCACAGCTTCCCAAGTAGCTGGGACTACAGGTGCCTGCCACAATACCTAGCTATTTTGTTGTTGTTGCAGTTGTCATTGTTGTTGTTTAGCTGGCCCGGGCCAGGTTCCGACCGGCCACCCTCGGTATACGTGGCTGGCTGTAACCCCTGTGCTACAGGTGCCAAGCCTTTCCTTTGTTTTTGACAAATGACTCCTTGTGCTTTGACAGAGAGTGGCAGATCTGCTCATCCCCTTTTGATGGTGTATCCACCCTTCTGTGGATGCTTCAGTATCCATGTCAATGCTGGGGTCGAGTCAGTGCCATTCAGACGGTTTCTGTTGGCCAAGAGCCATACCTCTCAGTGACATGTTTGTTTCAGCAAATTCAGATTCAGTGTGACAGCTAGCAGGTGGATAAATGCAAAAAGGCAGGGCTGGCAGCAGCCACAGTGATGAGGAAACGGGTGTCTCTCCAGCTGGGGGTGTGTCTACTGTGGTCATCTGTACAGTGTTCCCAGGACAGCCTGCAGTGGGAAGGTGGGGACAAGCCCTTGAGTTCTTGCATCTCTTATCCTCAGAACAGATGCTCTGCTCCTGAGACTGTCACTGATGGTTGGCAGAGAGGTGTTTTACGCCGCCCTCTGGGGCAGCGTCCTGGTGAGCCCGTCCATCCGCCTTCCCGCCTCGCTCTTTGTTGTCAGCCACATCAACAGGAACTGCCCTGGCAAAGAGCAGAAGTACATGCTGGGAAGCGATTACCAACTCACGGTGGGTGCTTTGTTCCTCCTGGGGCACGTGGGCACAGTGTTCCCCAGGCTGCAAAGGGACATGGGGGAATAGAGGCGTGCCAAGCGTCAGTGTGTAGTGGCGAGCCTCTGAGCTGGCTAGGAGGAACTGTCAGGACAGCATCATGCAGTGGAGGGCAGTGGGCGTTTTTTTAACATAAGCATTAAGATTTATATTTTCAAATAAGCCTTGTTCACACCCAAGGAGGGCCCTTCTGGAGGCTTCTGCAGTACACTGAGTGTAAATGACACACGGAAGGCCTCCGCCTGGAGGGTCTGTTGCTTTGGCTGGAATCCTGTTTCCTTCCCCTGGCGTGTGTCACAGGGACCACCACCCACCCCCACACACTCCCTCCTCCTCTGGCCTCCTGCCCTTGCTCTCAAACCCAAATTGTCCTGGCTCCGAGGTGTCCGTCTCCAGACACTTCCAGGGAAGCTGTCTTCCTTGGCAGTGACATCCCTTCTCATGACGTTAACAAAGGGAACTTGCCAGACCTTTGTCTCTTTTTCCCAAACCCACCTCTGTGTTTTTATAGCTGTGTCTGTCGCCACCTGCCGGTGCAACCACACTTAGAACTAAAGTGTTGAGAGTGAACCCTGGGTTAGGAGGTCTGCAGCTGGCGGAAGTGGCTAGCCCCTCTGAGTCCATTCCTCTTTGCAAAGTGGGAGTACATGCTGCAGTCCTCAGAGTGTGAGTTTAACCTGAGGTTCCTGTGGGATCCTTCTGGGATCATAGAATTTGACATCTTAAAACCCAACCAACCATCTGGTCCAGAGCCTCCCAGCTCTCAGAGGGAGCAGGTGAGGGCTGCAGCTGAATGTTTCCCAGTGTCACAGCCTCCTCCTCTAAGCTGGAGCCCATGCTCCCATGCCCGCCTGCCTACAGCTTGTCCTCCTCCACATGGTGCAACACGGTGGGTTCACGATTCCCAGGAGAAGTTATTTTCATTTCTGTGACTGTAAAGAGTAGCCTGAAAATGATGTTAAACATCTTGGAATAAGGTTTTCATGATGGTTCATCGTTTACAGGTAAAATCTTTGAGTGCTTCCCTGTTGGATTCCAATGTTCTTGTGCAAAGAAATAATCTGGAAATTGTTCTGTTTTTCTTCCCATTTTATACCTGTCTGGTAAGTCATTTGTGTTCTTCTGGTAAGTCACAGCAGTTTCCCACGGCAGGGGGTAGAGGGGGGATAGATCTCAAATAGTTTTGTCTTCAGAGCAGAACTCAGCCTCTAGGTTGAGCAGTTTTGGCTTTCAGCTGATTAAAGGTTCGTTTTTGTGAGGATGATGTTTTCATAGCAAATATTGAGTGTCCTCTTTCCATGGGCAATACATAAAAAACCATAAGCTTTATGTTTTGAGATAAAGCTTTGGGCTCCAGAAAGGAAGAGCTGCATGTGAGAAAGTCAGCAGGCTTCCCTGTCATTCCCTTGCAGCCAAGTTTTCTGTGTTCTTCAACAGGATCTGGATGAGAGAGCCATCCCCCTGCACAGATCTGACATCGTACATATTCTCTCAGCCGCCACACAGACCCTGCTGAGAAGGGACATGTCCCTGAACAGGAGACTCTATGCATGGTTACTAGGTACTGAGCACAATGCAGGCATTTAAAATCAAATGAATGCGAAACTTTTATTAGGGCTGATTTTTGGAATAAGTTTCAACCTTGGTGATGAATTTCCAAATCACAAAGTATGAAAAGGTCCCACACTGACTAAATAAGTAAGCACTGGTCAGTTGAGGTCTGCTGCCTATACTTAGCTTGGTTATTCCGCACAGCAGACTTAACTCTGAATACCCTATAAACTTTAGGCAAAGAGCCCTTGATCATTGGTTGGTAAGCTTCCCAGGGACAGTCTGGGAAATTACAGGGCTTAAAGGATAGCTTTTCTAGAATTTTCTAGAATTTTCTTTCTTTCTTTCGTTTTTTTTTTTTTTTTTTTTTTGAGACAGAGCCTCAGGCTGTCCCCCTGGGTAGAGTACCATGACATCACAGCTCACAGCAACCTCCAACTCCTGGGCTCAAGAGAGTCTCCTGCCTCTGCCTCCCAAGCAGCTGGGACCACAGGTGCCCGCCACAGCGCCTGGCTATTTTTTGGTTGCAGCCATCATTGTTGTTTTGGCAGGCCTGGGCTGGATTTGAACCCGCCACCTTAGGTGTATGTGGCTGGTGCCTTAGCTGCTTGAGCCACAGGCACCGAGCCAATTTTCTAGAATTTTCTAGATTCTCATATTCACTTAAGAAAAGGTGGTATGCAAAGTGATTGTGAAAGCATGTCACAGCTCTTACTAACTCTCAGTGTATAGATCTTGTCACATCAAAGCCAGGACACCCTCTTCAGTCTGTCTTCCCTCTCCTAGTTTAAAAACTTTCAAAAGGGCTTGGCACTCGTAGCACAGTGGTTATGGTGCCAGGCACATACATTGAGGCTGGTGGATTCTAACCCTGCCTGGGCCACCTAAAACAACAATGACAACTGCAACAAAAAATAGCTGGACGTTGTGGTGGGTGCCTATAGTCCCAGCTACTTGGGAGGCTGAGGCAAGACAATCACTTAAGCCCATGAGTTTGAGGTTGCTGTGAGCTGTGATACTACAACACTCTACTGAGGATGACATAGTGAAACTCTGTGTCCAAAAAAAAAAAAAAAACTTTCAAAAGTCATTGCGTAGAAGCTTATTATGGTTTTTAAGAAGGATTTTTAATATTTATAGGCTCTTTAAGGATGATTCGTTAAACGCACAGCTCTGCTTCTAGTGGGACTTGACAGGCTCTGCGTAGGCTCGTGGAGCAGACCCGGGCCTAAATGCGGCACCAGCTCCCACTCGCTCGGCTCTGTCCCCGGAGCCCCAGACTCTTTGCCTATACTACATGTTCTTTCTTGCCCTGAAGACCTCACAGAATGGTCCACAGCCAAAATGAGGTGTATATGCAAGACTACCTTGAGCCACATAGTACTTGGTAAATAAAAGCTTTTAAAAAGGATCCTGGAGGTAGAGAAAGAAGGAGGGAGAGGTGGGGGGAAAGGAAGAGCAGAGAGAGGGAAGGAGGGAGGGGGTGGGCTCTTGGTGTGTGCCACACCTTTTGGGGGCAAGACACAATTGTAAGGGGGACTTTACCTAAACAAATACAATCAGTGTAACCTGGTTTCTTGTACCCTCAGTGAATCCCCAACAATTAAAAAAAAAAGGATCCTCATTCCATGATCTGCTTAGACAGCTAATTCTTAGAGCAAACGAAATTGATGCCCACTGAGATGGAGTTGTGTGTATCTGATTAGCTACACCACTGACAGAAGAAGAAAGTGCGACTTGTCTTTCTGGATGACTTTTTCTGTTGAAGGGACTATAGTTTTAAAAATATTGGCGTGTGAGACTTCTCACAACACGATGTCCTCTAAAGCACAGACCTCTCTCTTCACAGCTCGTGTTGCTGTTCTTTTGTAGGGTCAGACATTAAAGGAAACACCATTGTGCCAGATTCTGAAATCTCAAACTCCTATGAAGACCAGTCTTCTTATTTTTTTGAAAAATACTCCAAGGATCTCCTAGTTGAGGTAAAGGAGCATTCCTGGAGAGTTTCCTGACTGTGAGACTCAGAGAGCACAGGGCGCGTTTCTTGGTACTTAGTTTGGGGAACTGCAGTCAGTGTGTTTGTCGCCTGCTGGGTGACTGCTTTTCTTTCTGTCTCAGAGTATTTAGCAATTAGAACAACCAATAATGTTGTTATATTTTACCATAAAACATACCCTAATATGTAGCCCTTTTTATAAAACATAGAGTCTGGCTGAGATACTGCATCAGAAGTTCTTAGATGCCGACGTCGAGGAGCGCCACCACGCCTACCTGAAGCCTTTCCGCATCCTCGTTAGTTTGCTGGACAAGCCAGAAATAGGTAATGTCAGAATCGCCGCTGCCATTGTATGCCAAGTACGGATTACCTGTTTCCAGGGAATTGAAACACAGTAAGGTATAGCCAGTGCGTTATTTTGAATATATTTCAATCTGTGACATTTCAGAATCTTGAAGTCATGCTATCTGATTCAATTATTATATAATATCTGTGGTCACTTTAAAATTTTACACAATAATTTGACTGTTTTTGTTTGAACACCTATGAGCTCCTGCTGTGCACATCTGTGTGTGTGTCTACAGAGCACATTAATTTAAGTTTCTTCAGTCTGTTGTCATGCTTCAAATGGGCTTTGGTTTTATTTTCAGATAAGTAGGTACCATCTTTTTGGCCTGTGACCCTGATCCTGGGCACTCCACTTCTTTTCACTGTTACAAAAACATTTTCATTGTAAAGGGAACGGGGTTGAACTAGACTCTGGTTACTGGAGGCCCCCATCTCATACACTTGAACATTAGTTAAGAAACATGACCTTCTCTTCCTCACTTTTTAATTTTATATTATTTTGAGACAGAGTCTTAATCTGTTGACCAGGCTAGAGTGCCATGGTGTCAGCCCCTGCTTATAGCATCCTCAAATGCCTGGGCTCAAGCCGCCCTCCTGAGTAGCTGGGACTACAGGCACCTACCACGATACCCAGCTAATTTTTCTATTTTTGTAGAGACAACTCGTGACCTGAAGGTCCACTCACTTCGGCCTTCCAGAGTGCTAGAGTCACAAACATGAGCCACTACACCTAGTCGTCTTCTTCACTTTTTAAAAATAAATTTGCTACAATATCCATTCCCTGGAATAGTATACATCTAGTTGCTTGAGCCCCATGACAGGGATACGATCCCCATCTCCTGCACTGGTTTCAACCTCAGGGTGTGTCCCTGGTGTGCCTACCTGCTAGTTGCTGTTTGCAGGGAATGAAAAAGCCAAGGACATTGGTAGGGTGCTTGCCTCTCCCTGGCCTCTCCCTTTATTTATTCCCTCAAAGACAGGCCTTGGGCACCTAATGTGTGCAGGAGGGTGCCAGTCTCTAGGGGACAAAAGATAGACTTGGGTCCCTGAGCATTTTCACTGCTTATGAATAATAGCTGACATTTTCTGAGCAGTTATTTTGCAGATATCATTTCATGTTTATCTCCACACATATCTCCTTAGTTCTAATGACCCTGAGGCGGGCTATCTTCCTTACCCATTTTACAGATGGGCACACTAAGATTGGGCAGGGATGGATCATCTGCTGAGCTCTCTTTGTCAAGACACTGCTGCTCACTGGTTGCACTCAGAGGAAGCCCACCGGAGATGCCTCTCATTTCTGGTAGATGGACTACTATCCCACAGCAGCTTTAGCTGCTCCTAACCAAAGTCAAAGTCTGAAGAAGTATTTGTTCTTCCAAGCTTCATTCATGCTGTGTGCGCTGCCTGGAGGTGTCAGTGCAGGGTTCCCACTCCTCCTCCTAGCCCTCCCCTCCTGCCTCCATCCACATAGATGTTCTGTTAGTGTGGAGCAACTGCAGCTCTGCAAAGTCCAAAAGGAAAACAGGATATATAAATGTACTGGGAGCTTGCTGTGTAACTCAGGAGAAGTAGTATAAGAAAAAAATAGAATTTAGCGTTTTGGAGATGTGTGTTTGTTGTCAAGGCCGAGTACCAGGGTGAGCCAAGTAAATGTTGCTAGCTTGAGCTCTGGGTTCTGTTTTCTGGAAAGAATTGAATATCAGGTTTCTGCCCAATCATAACAGACATTACTTTGCTCTTCCTGGTAACTTAGTTGTTTGTCTTGCTTAAGAGGCAAAGGAGTTGGTTATATAGAAGTAGAAGGCATAGGATGGTCATTCAGTCTTATCCTTTTTTTTTGCTACCGGGTTTTGGCCACATCTCATTTCTTCCTCCGTGAGTTAGTACAGCATAACTGCCTTTGTTTTGTAAAAAGTATTTGCAGTTCTTGGCACCATGGCTCATGCCTTTAATCCCAGCATTTTGGGTGCCAAGGTAGAAGGATTGCTTGAGGCCAGGAGTTCAAGACCAGCCTGGACAACATAGTAAGACCCCCATCTCTCCAAAAATAAGAAAAATTAGCAGACTGGTGGTGTGTGCCTATAGTCCCACTACCCAGGAGGCTGAGCTGGGAAGCTGGCTTGACCCAGAAGCTCAGGGTTATAGTGAGCTATGGGCACACTACTGTGCTCTACCAGCCTGGGTGACAGAGCAAAGGCCCAGTCTCAAAAAGGGGAGGGGGAATTCTTATACTATAGGTAAAATACATATGAGGCTTATCATAAAATAGTTTTTTCAGAGACACATCTTTTTATTTTGTGAAAAGGAAGTGTAAAAGATTGGAGTAATTCGCTGATTGCTTTTCACAAATGTTGACAGTGTTCATTTCCTCTGAATTCTTTGTGTTTTCATCCCTCTGGACACACTGGTGAAAAGTCAGTCCCTCAACTGCCTGTTAGTTGCTGTTTGTGGAGCAGAAACATCCTGCCAGGTTGGCAGAGAAGCCTCTCTCTCTAACATGCAGCTGGGCCGGTTCTTTTGTGCCGTCTCTACCCACTTTTCAGGATTGGTATTTCTTTTGTGGTCTTCTAGCACGTGATGAAAGGGAAATTGCCCCAGTCTCTGGATATTACTATCAGGTGGCGTCCCTAGCTGTGCAGTTTGCACACATCTCACATAGCCTGTGCCCTGCTTCCATCTACAGAATCTGGCTTGGACCAGTTACCTAACCTCTGTCACCTTGTGCAAAATCAGGGACAGAGCGTGTTACCTGCTTAGGTGGCTGTGGTGAAGATCCAATAAGTTAATAGATGTAAAACACGTAGAACCTTGTCCAGCTCATAGTAAGCTCTACAAAAGTGTTGGCTATTTTCAAGGATGTTGTTACTACTATTTCAGCTAAAGTTGTCAACCACTGAAGTTTCCATATGTTTTAGACTAGATAAAATGTCTACATATACAGAGGGACTATGTCTGTTTTATGTGTGTGTCATGTATTGATTTCAAAATCGATTATTAACCTTTCTGTGACCATTTTCTTTTTAATTGTAGGACCTCAAGTGGTTGGGAATTTGTTTCTTGAAGTCATCAGGGCCTTTTATTCTTACTGCAGAGATGCCCTGGGCTCTGATCTTAAACTTAGCTATACTCAGAGTGGAAATTCACTAATAAGGTATGGACTTAGCATTGAACTTCACACATCTTCCTCCCTCCCCAGTGCTATGAATTTTTCTCTCTCTGTTGTTTATTATAAATTGTGAAGCAGTATGTAGCAGGTGGGACCACTTATTAAAATAACCTCTGTTCTGAGGCCAAAAAAGTAAATCAGCTATTCTCTAGTAGGTACCATGAAGAGTTAAAGAGGAATTTGATGTGGTCTTTTTCCCAGTCTAAAGTATACATGCAGTATTTTCTGATCAGATAAGAAAATGTTCAACAAAGGCAAGCTGGTCTAGTGTACCCAGTGGTGAGTTACAGAGGAGAGATAGAGACGAGAGGAGGGGAATGAATTCTGGAAGTGGAGGCAGGAATGAGTCTCCAGGAGAGGCGTCAGAGTGGGACAGGAACCCCCAGCCCACTCAACAGCATGGACTCCAGTGCCCTAGAGGGAGAGTAAACCATGTTTGGCTTAAAATGTGCAGTTACCCATGAACCCTGTGTTTTATTTTTATTTTTTGAGACAGGGTCTCACCATGTCACCCTCAGTAGAGTGCAATGGTGTCACAGCTCACAGCAACCTCAAACTCTTGGGCTCAAGTGATTCTCTTGCCTCAGTCTCCCAAGCAGCTGGGACCACAACGCCTCACTATTTTTTGTTACAGTTGCCATTGTTGGTTAGCTGGCTTGGGCTGGGCTGGAACCTGCCACCTTCGGTGTATGTGGCTGGCGCTGTAACCACCATGCTATGGTCACCGAGCCTTGTTTGTTCTTTTAAGGGAACAACTTCTTTCTTTTTGATTTACTCCACATGTAACTTCCTTCTGCCTGAATTAGTACTGGGTATATTAACAATTTAAATCAGTTTTTAAGATTTTCCAGGTTTAGTGTTTGCTTTTCTCTCCTAAAATGAGACTAGTTTGTTTTTCTGTATTTTCTATGTTGTTGGAGTACAAACGTAATACATGCTCATTGTAGAATTTATTGGTATTTAAAGGTATCAAGAAAAAAGATGTGACCCATAATCCTACCACCATTCAAAGAAAATATATTATTTTTCACTTTCCTTTAGACTTTTACTGGAGACATAAATACATGGATTCCTATTTCTTATTTTAAAAATAGAATTACAGTAGTATTAATTTGCCTATTCTTTTAAAGCAAGTTCTGGATTGCCTGAGCCCAGGAGTTAGAGACCAGCCTGAGCCAGAGTAAGACTTCGTCTCTAAAAATAGCTGGGCACCTGTAGTCCCAGCTTCTCGGGAGGCTGAGGCAAGAGAATCGCTTGAACCTAAGAGTTTGAGATTACTGTGAACCGTGATGTCACAGCACTCTACAAAGTGAGATTCTGTCTCCAGAAAGAACAAAAAGCAAGTTGTGAGCAGATCTTCACAGTTCTCCTGTGGCATATAATGATTGCCTTAGGCTTGGCACCTGTGGCTCAAGTGGCTAAGACGCCAGCCACATACACCTAAGGTGGCAGGTTCGAATCCAGCCCAGGCCTGCCAAACAACAGTGACGGCTGTCACCAAAAAAGCCAGGCGTTGTGGCAGGCACCTGTGGTCCCAGCTACCTGGGAGGCTGAGGCAGGAGACTCACTTGAGCCCAGGAGTTGGAGGTTACTGTGAGCAGTGATGCCACGGCATTCTACCCAGGGGGACAGCTTGAGGCTC